CTTAATTTTGTTTTTAAGTAAAGGCAATTCTGTTTGGGAAAGAATGTTGCCTACCTAATGTGTTTCGACGACGACACTAACCTAAGGTATAAAAATGCGTTTGTATTAGAAAAAAATATGGTTTATCTAAACATGTAGAAGTAATTCATTAATAAAGAATTCGGGCTGAGATCACGGTAAAATGTAGATATTTTTTTGATCAATTTATATCTCAGACTTCTAAATTGTCTAAGAAATATAATAATTGGTTTTATATTTTAAATGTGAATTTTTCATCGAAAATACTATGTACGTACTATTAATATTAACTTTTCTATGTAATTTAATTCGTCTGCTTGAATTATCAATTTAATCATAAAATTCACTAAGACAATGAACTCTATATTAATAAGAATCACATTGTTATTAAGTATAATAAATTGTTTTTCCCAAATAAGTCGTAATTTTCTACATTTTTCTCGAAATATCTAGATAAGTGTTCGCTTATGTTGCGAATATATTAAGTTGTAAAATGCAGAGTTGAAGTCTTTTATCCTGAATATTTATATGATAATTTATTATTTCAATACAGTAGATGTATATAAATAATTTGAATTCAATTTGAATTTTTTTCATGACATATGCTGTCGTAACATAAAAGGGGAATTTTAGAATTAATACGAACAGTTTCAAAGTTTAATTAAAGTTCAAGATTTATGAAAATAGTATTATTTCAGTGATGATAATAATATTGTTAGGTTTTAGCTATATTTAAAAGACAAAAGTGAATGATTTTAAAATATAAAATATTACGTATCATAAGGAAATGTAAGTTATTATTGTTTTTGTGTTGGCTGAGAAACTTACTGGGTACTAAAAAATGAGAATAATATACATAACGATATTATACCTTACAAAGTAAACCATAATGCCAATATTCAAAAAGGTACATAAAAAGCGGACATTTAGTATTGTAAGTTAAATGTCTTAGAAACATAATATGAATATATGATACATATTTTGAAATATTTATTTTATTCTCATTAATATTAATTATTTTGAATGGATCATCAAACGCGTAATTCAATTTTTCAATGCGTATTATTAGAGCGGATTTACAGGTAGGTGATTTTAATTCGTTTTGTGATTAGTCCATGATTAAATAATTATATTATAATTGACAGTAGGCCTGAATTCAATAAATTGATGATTTCAATGAGATGAAAAACATGAATGCTTCTAATTAGCAAATATTAGGGGCTATAGATGAATTTTGAACTAACGTAGATTGCGCCCAACGACGGGAGAAAATTATAAATTGCGCCAAATACATTTCAGATGTAAATTTCTACTTAATAAATGGCGCTCAATACATTACAGGAATAAATTTCTATGTGTATACATTGCGCTTTGCAAAGAATATTTTTAAATTATATTATTTTTATGATAACAATTTAAACGTATGCCCCCAAAAGTTTTTGGATAAAATTAAAAATTTAATAAAAATTTGAAAACATTTTTTAAATTAAATAATACAAGTGTATACATGTATGAAGTTACCTATTAAATTATATTAAGTTATATTTCTATAATGCTCAGCAATTTTATCCAATTTGTTGAAATTTTCTACACACTCTGATACTCTGAGTGCAATTTACTATATCTGTTTTAGAAATCGAAAAATGTCAGGTGCAATTTACTATAATACTCCTTTATTACATGTTTTACCGAGGGTGCAATTTACAATCGTCCGGAAAAGCAATGGACTAGATCCTTTGAAACTTTCTTTTATTGTGTATTATTGTTATTGCATTGATTAATATGATCGATAGTTGAAAAAATATATTTACATCGTGTGAAAGTTATCATCTCTTCACAAACTTTTTGTACACAATTGCTTAGAGGCGTCAGACGGTGTTTTTTCTGCCAATGCTTTGACGAGGTCGTAATAAATTTTATTTTAGCCTTTGAAAATAAGCTACGTTTATAGATTTAATTTTTGTTATTTACTTTCATTGTCTTAATTAATTACAACATTATGATTTATTGCACTTCAATTAACATTAATTAACAGAGTAAAAATATGATTTTAAATTTTATAGTTTATACAATTTGAAATAAAATCACCGAAATTTATATGATACGTATAATTCTATAGTAATATTGTTTACTGAAATAAAGTCATGTTCACAACGACTCTATTACGTACCTATAGCATAATACTTTAAACACTTAGTATTTTAACGACCGCGTAGGCACTTCAAAAAATATTGTTAACGAAAATAAAACTATTTAATCCTTGTGTAATATTTTCTGTACAATAATGGTGTAATACAAATTGATGGCAAATTTCTAGATATTCCTAGTAATAAATAGTAATTATAAATTGCATTTAACAAATTAATTTACGTTTTTACTAACTGCATACAGCTTATTATATAGTCTATAGTCGTCTGTAATATTTTAAGTTTTACCTACTATCCGTCACTTCAATTAAATACAGACAATTGTTCGTACTTTTATTACATTTTTAAGGTGTTTTGGAAATATTATGACATGTCGAATTTTGATAGCTATATTACAAACAGTTGGATCACTTTCATCGGAATTTAATTTAGAATTGGCGCCATAAATGTGATTTTCCGTAGTAATTACTTTTTATACATTTTGTAGTCGTTTCTAAATGAAAAAAAAAACACGCAACATAAAAATTATTATAATTTTTAAATGTTTTTTAAAAAAAATATTGTATTAAAAAATATAAATGCCTGAAAATTGTATACGATATGAACCGTATAAAGTATTATATTTAATAAAAATAATTTATGAAACAAAATATTAATTTGAAACATTTAAAAGGAGCTTACCAGAAAATGGACTAGTTTGTCATCTGAGGTCTAATTCAACAATGTATGTTAGAATAGGTACCTAAAATAATTACATTTTTATGTGCCTCATTATTTTTTCAAAATCGACCTAATTTCTCATGAATTTTCTTTTCTTCAATATGAACTCGTTTTTAAAATGTTTTTTTTTTTATCATGTAAGGCACCTGTTAACCCACCTAACAATAGATCGTTATAACTATTATTAATAGATTTTTTTTTTTATAGTTTTACCATTATAACCAGAATAGTTCTTATTGACTTTATGCGAATTACTTATATTCAGTTTGCATGTGCCTATATTAATTCTATACATCTATGCATGAATATTAAATTATATTATTATTTTTCTTAGACACTTAATCTCTCAAAGTTTTAAAATGGACTGACTTTCTTGTTATTAACAGTTTTAAATTATAGCTTGTCATTAATAAATTGCTCGTAAATACTTACATGTAAAGAGTACATAATAATATTTAGAAATGTTCAGACATTTGTTTTTCCAAAAGTTTTATAGCTGTCTCTAATGTTTTGTTTAAATAATGATTTACATTATAAGATATTCCCTATTTATTTAATTATTTAGTTTTTCAGCTCCAATTTGGTTTAAATCATTTAATACGTATACGTATACGTATTAAGTAGGCAAATCGTAAAAACCGGATATTCCCCTCTTTCCAAGCTATTTTGGTGGAGTAAAGGACTTTACCATCATATTTAAAAAAAAATTGTAGTATGACTTTTTTAAGTGTATTAAAATAATACAAAATAAATGTCCAAATATATTCAGATAAATAGATAATTATATCTATATTAATGTTGATTGAGCATCTCGATCTTAATTATTTTGTGAAAAGTAGTATTATAGTTATACAAGTAACGTTTGAAACAAATCTAAAACATTTAATAGATTAAACCATCAAATGATTTTATAAATGAGATATAATTAATAATTAATAAGAAAAATAACTAAATATTTCTGCATTATATGAATGGTGCATTTCGTAAGAATTAAAAAGTCTTTGATTTGTGATTATTTTGTCATCCCGACTAACACATTTTTTTTCTTGTAGAATCCAAGCATTACTATGTTCTTGGATATTTAACAATTTAATAATAAATAGGTAATGGATTTGATCTCTGAAGGATTGCTTTGGTGGATTTACGAATATTTGGATGCTGAGTTCTTACTAAGGCTTATAATTTATTATTGAAGCCTTCACTTTATTTGTTCTACCTGTGCTTTTCTTTGGAGCATCATGTTCGTTTCAAAAATAAGGAGGAAATATCACTAAAGGTCACTGCAGAAATACCAAATAACGATTCGGTTATACAGTAAAATGTATTACCTTTATGTCGTCTATATAATATTACTATGATACATGTTCTAAACATTAGGTACTTATTATTTTATTTTTATAATCGTACGATTACTTTTGTAAATTTATTTTGTTTTACATATTATTGCACTTATAATAAACAATAAAATAACTAAAAAAAATGTCATACTAAAGTATTTTTTTTTTACATAAAATATGGCACTGCATGGAAATGTCCTCGTTATAGTCTTCGTTGATAATTGTCGTGGGAAATCGTCCTGATTTCATTGAGATAATACCAAACTACGTTGTGTACAACGTCGATAAGAATAAAAATATATGATCAAATAACGTCATTAATTATTTTAAACAAACCAACGGCTGCAGTTCGTGCAGTCTTATGTATGAAACACACGCGTCTCCGTTTTGATCAATTACGAAATAATCGTATTATATAATCGCTGCAGCGCATCACGGGGACTCGACCGTCGCCCACCCACCACCCCGTTGCTGCTGGCGCCCACCCCGAATATATTCGACAGTCGCGTGTAAACGTTTGTTGTTTGTTTGTTTGTTTGTTTGTTTGTTTTACCGTCCGATTCCGAGACGTCTGTTTTGTTTTCGTTGGCCAGACGAACTGCACGGAGAAGGAGACTCGAAGGCGAAGACGACACGAGCGCACGCAGACACAGTACCTACTTCGATTAGCAGTCGAATAAAACGGTGACGTAACCCATTTTCGGGATACTTGCGGTGGTACCTATATACCTATGACTAGTAGGCGGGTTATACACGCGACGGCGCTGTGGTGGCGTCTGTAGGACGTGCTTGTCGTAAAATATAGATAAAGACCAAATAATAATAATGATATTATATAAACCGAATGGTTATTCGTCGAGATTAGATCATTTTTTTTTTCCTTTTGGACGAGTTGCGCGCGTATAATATAATATAATATAAATCATTATATAGTCGTCGTCCCCACCTTGACGGTGAACTATATATGTACCGCAATACAATTCCGTCAGTGATCCGCTTGCATTGATGGTACCTGCCGTACAAAACCGACCGAATAATATTATTATTTATTATTGTGCATAAAACAACTGCGACTCGATACGACGACGACGATATCGTACCATTGACATATCGCATGCGATCGATCGATTCATCATCGGCGGACCGTCTTCGAACGCTGCGCCCGAACAATAGATATACTATTATTATCATTTATCACATTAGACGAATTTCAAACGAATTGCTGTGTTCGTCGGAACGCTGGACCACGATCGCCGTCTGTCTGATAATACTTCTACTGCTACTGCACACACCGTGTCGGTAATGTAGACACACACACGCGCACACACACACACACACACACACACACACACACACACACATTCAGCCGAGGTACATACTACTCACCGCCCACGCTTTATATGTACCTGAGGAGACGTAACAATAGTTATTTGGTTATCGCGTGCACGCTGGCCTTGGGTATTCTCATCTGTATGCCCGTCACAGCTCACTCGTTCATCAGAGGTAATAATATCATTACGTACAATGCTCTATATACTTTTCGGTCAATTGGTGACGGCCGACAAGTCCGAGTATATTTCGTATAATAATAATAATAATAATAATAATAATAATAATAATAATGATATATATATGTATTTGTTTGATTTTAAATTTTCTGCAGATTGCGGGACGTAAAATATCTGGTATCTATATAGAGCTAGTTGACTATAATAATATAGCTGGTAATATTTATGTCTCTACCAATCTATACTCGCGTTGTTCTCACGGGAATGACAAAAAAAAATTAATAATACGTGTTTTTGATTTGTTGGTTTTCAGCAATATACTTACCACCCCACATTATTAAAGGCAAATAATTATCATAATAATATTACAAAGTAATCACCAAAGCATATTATAATATATAGTAACGGTCAAAAGCGTGCAATATATAATATTATATTACATGGATTGTTTTATATGAGTTAGAAAAAAACTGTTGATTTGAATATTTTTAATTTAAATTTATGAGTTTTAAACGACTGCTGTAGTTGTGATTTGTAAAATATACATCGTTTTTAGTTTTTTACGGTGATATATTATAGGAATATTTTTATAAAAATTCTTAAATGTATAATTTTAATGTAATGATTTATTGAAATAAACTTTTATCATTACAGATTTTATATAATATATAGTATACATGTACGTTACAACCGATGAATTTATTTAATTTTTGTCGACCTTATTCGCTTTTACGTTCCCTATTCGTTTTATCAATTTCCATAAATTTGATTGTGCAAAATTAAAAATGTTTAATACGTTTACATAAAAAAATCTTACGCAGTACTATTTCTTCATTCATAAATTCCTCACACATATGTCATAAGTAACTTTATATGATTTTTAACTTTAAAAAGATTAATGTAACAGTATCATTAAGTATAATATTTAAAATTGCTTTTGATATAAGTACCATTAGGCCTTGTATTAACGCAGCGTACAATGAGGGAGGGGAACATAAAAAATTTGAAATATGTTTTATAAAAAAATAACATCTAATCTTCTGTGGTTTTCTATCCAACTCGCCAATAACCTCTACGGGGTTCATGGAGTTAAAGGGGCATATCACAGTACACCGACAACAGAATCAATCCGTTCTGTCCTGTGAGTACCTACCTACAATTATTTTTTCCAAATCTCACAGCTTGATAGTTGAAAACTACTGATATACCTATACAATACGTAGTGGTATAAAATATATTCGTCAATTGTCGACCAATCGGCTCACGCTTTAGTTTGAACATAATCACTAAACAATATTGTAGTCAATAATCTTTACCGTAAATTGCGTTGCTTATATTATTATAGAATTTGTTTATTTAGAACAACTGATGTCTAATATTAACTTGAGTTGTGGTGGTCTTCACATCATAAAAACATCAATTGTTTGTCGAAATTCGACAGTCACGGTTAGATATTATATGTTATGAAGATTAGTATTTGCACATTTTAATCATTTTTGTATATCAATATATATATTTAAAAATATACCGAGGAGGAGCATCTGAAAAACTATTGCGTGTATAATACGCCAGTGCAACTATTGTACAATAGTTAATAATAATAAATAATTTAGTATTTTTGGTGACCCATTTGAAACTAATTAAAACTTTTAATAAATGAATATATTGTCATTATTAAAACTGAATATTTAAAACATCTTGTAATTATTGACTTTTCATTTTTTTAAAATATATAACATCAAAAATTGCCTATATAATACCCCTTAAAAATCGTTGTAATAAAGTGGAGCTTTAGATAAAGAAGATTTTTTTTGAATTTTTTCATTGATTGTGAAGGATGACTAGGAAGTTATTTTACAATTCGAAAATTCAGACTTACTAGCAATTTTTAGTGAAGGTGATGAACTATACAACTATGTATTATCATCAGTTTTGGGTCAACTGTAAAAATATTACTAAATGTCAGTTTCGCCACATCGTATTACACGATATGTAAATTTTATTTTATTTTAAGAAAGAAAAGTGATACACTCCTAATTATTAGGTACCGAATGACTTATAAATTTACATATTTTATTTGGCTTTATTTCAATATTTCAAAAATTCTCGTAATCTAATAATATTGTAAACAAACGTATTGATTTGTTTTTATTAAGTTTTTTTAGAAACAAATTCTATAACTCTAAATTCTAAACTTAAAATATACAATAGAATACCTATAAGCATATTATGCATTAAATTATAATAGAATAAATTGTTCAAAAACCAGAATAATAGATTTGCACAAATAAATATGTTATTTTTCGTGACTTAAGAATTTTATTAGTTTCTACAATAAAAATAATATATTTGTTCTTAATAATAAAATGTATTTGTTTTTATACAACATTACGACGTGATTACCTATGGGCTACGATTGTAAAAATATGTTTTTAATTAATTTATGCATTTTTAGTATAGTTATTGCAGGAAGTGCCCCTAATTTTTAAATAAATATTTGATGAATTCACTATAGTTATACACACACATGCACACACAAAGCACGTTTATATTCCATTTTTTATCTGCGTTTGGAATGTTCACTTGAAAATTGAATTCGTCCACGGTCACATCCAAAGCGTAAGAAACACGATAAAATTATTTCAGAAATATTGTTGATACTCCTTGTACGTTTTCATATTATTTTCAATAAGTATTTCGTTAATAATATAATTATTAATACTCTAGGATACGTCCTAGTACCGGGTGTAAGTTTCCACCTTACGCATCTTCGTTTCGTTCGATGTAATAATTTAACCAATTCTGGTAATGTTTAATGCGAATGCACGGAATTTTACGTTTTATAAATGTATAAAAAAGTATTGATAACATGTTCTCCGAGTTTAATATTTCTACTTTTTAGCGTTCAATTTTTATCAAATCTCACAATTCATAGTTTGTATTTAAAATTATGCTCTAAAAATAATCTGCATTCATTTTTGGCGTAGTCGTTCAATTATTAATAGAAGGGACATTGTACAAGTTCTTAGATATACGCGTCATTATTAAAATATAAAAAAATTAGGCTGAGTACACGGGTACTTAATGTGTACGTGGTATTTATTACGTTAAAATTGGAAACTCGTTTTATCCATTAAGTATAAAAGATAATATTTGTATTGTAAAAATATACACATTCGTAGTAATGATAATAATAATAATAATAATAATAATATGTTGTTGTTGTTGACAATTTGTTGAACGTACATATAACATGGTAACATTATAATTGCGGATGTCCGACCGTGCTCGTAAGTTAAATTATATTTTTATGACCTACATCGTATACGTTATTGTACTCGTGCCTACCTACGAATAATGCAATAATAAATTGTTAATATTATATATTAATTTAAAAAAAAAAAACGCCATTTAAATACCTACTCAATAACGTTATAAACAAAATTTAAATAATGCACGGTTGATCGTCGTTGTTGAACGGAGAGTTCTGAATCGCATGCATTAGGAGGACGACGTATTCACACAACACATCGATTGCGATTTTGTGTAGTTAACATATTATTATCACACAAAAGAAATATTATATTGTTATGTTCTACGCAACACAGCTCAACGTACTGCGTACGAGCTATGTCGCGGTGCACAGCTGTAAAAAGTTAAACAAGTCGACCTGTTACCTTTTACACTGACACGTACTAATCGTCGGTTAATATCTATTATATTTTTTTTTACCGTGCGTAGAACAAAAAATAAATGGCACAATGACTTGTTTTCGCAATCGGTTTTTAAAGAGGGAAATCGTATTATTATTATTTTAAAGCGCCGAACGGTGCAGAAAACGGCGGCGACGACGACGACGCGTAGTTCTTCGATATCAATTAAAATAATACGAAACAACAAATTATTATTTCCCCCCGTTGTAATCGAACAGGTAATCAATACGTTCGCGGCGGAATAATTACTATCGATTTCGCATGATATCACGACTTTTAAAACTATTTCAACACCACAGTAATGTATAACGATATGCACAACTCGCAATATATAGGTATTATAATAATACGAGCTCGTTTAACCGTGTCGACGGCATTAAACGACTCGGCAATACAACTAATATAATAACACCCCCACCCCCCCCCCCGTGTAACGCAGCGCGCCGTCGTCGTGGATGCGAAAAGTTTTTTCGGTTCCATCTACATTCTATTCAATCCGTTCTATGCGTTATTGTTACATAATATAGCCAATAGGTGCGTATCCGCTACCGCGTTCTGGGCGGCGGCGGCAGTCGCGGCGATTCAATCGCTGGAAACGGTAAACGCTCTGAACTTTTGTAATTGATTCGTTTGGGACTCCACTCGCGCGTCTCCCGCTGCACTACGCCGTGTACCCTCGCCCCGCGGAGGTGTTACTCTGTGTCGCACGAAAAACGATTACTGCTGTGATTCTGAAGTGGCGAAAATAAAAAACAAAGAAAACCGCCGTGACCGATTGGCCGCACAATACAATGTAATATATATGAAAGCCATAACCGATGGTTTCCCGTCGGCATTCCGGCCCGAAGCTCTTACAATACGAAAATCATTATACGCCTATATATATATATATGTATTTACAGTTTTTTTTTTTTCCGAAGCTCGATTGCTTAGCGACGCTTTTCACTTCCGCCCTACTCGTTTTGTCTTTGTAATACATTAATGGAATATCGTGAACCCCCGACTCGAGGGTGGGTGCGTGCGATCAAGATAAATCTTTTAACGACGGCCGTGGAATACGGAAACAAATTGTTGTCACTTATAATGTCTTAAGGACGACAGATTTATTCCGAAAGGAATAGATAAAAAAAAAAAAAGAGGACGGAGGACGGCGGGGAAAACGGCGCACACAACTAAAATAACAAATACTTTTAGTTTTGTATCATTTGCGCAGAGATCGTTTTCAAAACAAAAAATAAAATATAAATAATAATAATAATAATAGTAATAATAATAATAATAATAATAATAATAATAAATAAAACAAGGCAGAAAACCATTCGTCTTGCTTAGAAAACCCAACGGCAGCAACTTTTATTTGTCTTTAAATTATATAATACGAGAAACTGATCTTACAGTAACACGTGATAATAAAACGTATTATTTAATCTCTGAAACGTTTACACCTCGAATTGTCTACGAAACGTACGTGCTGACATTGTTTTGCTAAGTTTTTTTAAAAAAAATTGTTTGACCTAACGATTAAAACAAAAGTATAATAACTATTACGGTGATTATGCATAACAAATTATCGATTAATTTTCATTGTTAGCTGATGATAATTATAATTTTTCTTTGCTGATCAAGCTGATAACGTTTTTATTTTATTACATAGTGTGTTTTTTGAATAAGTAATCATTTTTTTTTTTTTTATTGTACATTTGGGTTTTATGATGCTATTGATTTATGTGGTATATATATTATGACGTGTGTTCGTCCTGTTTCGTGCATAATTATTGATTTTTCGTTCATAGAAGTACACAATTGTCTGGCGTGGAAATTATATAACTATATATCTTTTGATTGGAAAATATACTAATTGTATTTTGGAAAGGGTTAGCATGGCAGGACCAGTTTCCAAAAAAATTGTGACGGGCCATCAAAAAACCTGTGACATTTTTAGGACACCCATTCTTGGTAAAAAAAGCCATGCACTTGACATTTTAACAATTATTCAATTTATTATTTTTTTTTCTAATACTAATTATCACATAATAATATATAGTTGACATTTTTTTGTACTCTATAAGTAATGAATTGTACGAACAAATTTTTTCACTGGCTTCATTTTTTTTTATCAAATTTGAATTTTTCCATATTTTAGAATGGGCACTTGCAAATTGAATGGAAACTGATTAAAATAAAACACATTATTATAAAAACACATTATTCTGGTAAAAGATTTCCCAACAAGAGTATTGGACGTGGTTTAAATTTAGGTTTTAAAATTACGTTCGATTTTAGTATGATCAATGTTGCGGAATATTTAATTTTATAATACTACAACAGTTCCCGATTGGCCCATAATTTCATTACTTTTGTACAGATGTGTGCGAAATTAATATTCTAGTTAAAATTGACGTTTTGATTCAATTTTACCGAGTTAGTGAAAGTAACATAAAATATTTAAGTTTTTGTTGACAATTAATGACATATTCTAAAGAAAATGGGCACCTAAAATATATAGAAATCATTACCATGATAGAAATGTGAGTGACATTATCTTCTAATTTATTACGGTTATTATTTATTTATTATTTAATGAAATGGTTTGTTTGAGATTTGAATGAATAATAGCAATAATGGACGTCAATCATTTGTAATTATTTTCACTTTTTAAACAAAGATATTATAACTATTTAACAATAATATGTTTGTAAATGCATAAAAAAGTAAATTATTATGATTTATTCATTTTTGTTTTTGAAAAACTGTAAAAAACTATTAATTATTTAAGTTTTATTTAATAATATAAAATAATGATAATCGACTAATCCTCTATTTTTTGTTTATCGTAAATCTATTAAAGAAAAAATTTAATAATGTGAATATGAAATCAGTAAATTATTTTACATTAATTTATGGTCTCTTCGATTTAGCCAAAATTTGTTCTTATGATGCAATCCGTCAAAAAGCCAAAAGGTCCTGATAAGTAAAATATTCTATTAAAAGTGTCCACGTGAAAAGTATATGTAGTCACTACTCAATCAATGTTTGAAGATAAAAAACAGTAATGACCATTATTAACACCTATAGGAATTTAATTTAGATGGTTTTAATGATACAACTAACAACTATCTACCTATTACAATTTCAAGGTATTTAATTTTTTATACTTTAAAAAATGTTGACTCATTAAACTTTAAGGTTATTTACAAATAATAATTGTACTCTCAATTCTTCTAATTTAATCTTCTCGCATTAAACCTAATATGCCGGTAGTTATTATACCCGTGTTAGATTTCATTATTTCAATTAATCATTACTGGTCTAACACAATAAAATAATTGGTAAAGTTTTACTGTTCTAGTTTTAATTACTATTAAAAGTAATGCGATAAGCCATTAACGGAAATAAAAGTAATCGTAATTGATGTACTCAGGTATAATATAGGTAACTATTTTAGACCTTTTTGAACTCAGATAATGTTATATGATTCGATATTACGTTCAAAATAATTATAACAGTCAGTGTGCATATCTTTGGTTATTAATCATTGTAATTTAATATGTACAGGTAGGCATTTAAGTAACAAAAATCAAGACGTACTTCATAAAGATGGCGTGATTGCCTATGGCTTTTGCGCATTGTCAAATCCTATAATATCATCAATTAATATTGTAATATCGATTGACCCTCAAATATCCACCTACTTAAACCCCTTGTAAGACGCTCGATAGAAAATTAGATCACTGCAGGCATGGGGGTACATTTGATGAATTTAAAGCTTTTCCATAAGATTTAAAACAAACATAATTATAGCAAAATTAATTTAGTCATGAGTAGTAGCTGTATTACCTACACTCATTGCAGCTTACGTCCTATATCCATGCACTTTAAATGATTGTCTAGTCGATTCACCTATTGTTTTTATATTTTATGCCCGCAGATCGCTGTTTCATGCCACCAGACGATGGCAGTTGTGGAAATCGATTGACTTTGAGAGTAAAATACTACTTTGACTCAACTAATGACGACTGCTCAGAATTCCTTTACTTCGGTTGTGGTGGCAACGATAATCGATTTGACACATTCGAAGAATGCGAAAATGCATGCGTATTCTACGGGTTTTAAAATAAGCCATCTTCCACTGGATCTTCTGTGTTGGCAGCCGACGTTTTGCAATTGTCAATAATTGTTATATATGTGAGTCGCCGCAATGAAGTTTTTCGATTAAATGACTTAAACCATATACAGATATACATAATAAATCACTTGTCCCACAGCATTTGTTCGCAGTATTATTGATTTGGTACGTTTATCAATATAACATTGGTAGGTAATACTAATCGTTTGGAATTAAAACCGTTCGACGAGAATATACCAATTAAACCCAATTGTGCGACGGCGAGGTACTGAGAGCGGCGTTATTATACGACGTCTTATTTAACAAAGAGTCGATAAGGCGTTAAATATATTCCTAATATGAACGCCATAATATTATACATCTCATAATGCATTCCATGCAGCATATTGGTATCTATACGTACTTGGTTATATTTTTAGCCGATCGCGCTGATGACAAGTACAATGTGCCTAGTCGAACACGAGAGAAATCACGTTAACGGGTTTGAAAAAAAAAATTAATCATCAAGCGAAACAATATTCAATTATTTATTTTTGTTCTGTTCGAAAGCACTCGAAGGTCTCTCACCGTTTATAGTGTTTATACCGTCAAGCGAGGCGCCTGGTATCGTACTATACTCAATAACGCACCAGTCGGTTAGGCATTATTTTATTATTTACCAAATATTATATTATGCACGTCATAATACAATAATAACGATGGCTGAATATCCAATAGTCACTCCACTCCTGTTTATCTCATCATCCGTTTTCGATTGTGTGTACTTTTTAGGTTTGGACCATGCATCGGTATGGCGACGTGTGCGTTAAGTCAAAATATTATGAGCTCGCGGTCCGAGGATTTTAGATCGGCGATCACTTCCATGACACGTGTCATAATATTACCTATATTCACGCAACCACACACGCACCATGCCTGATCACATTGCATCAGACGATATCCGAAAACGCGATGAGTGAACATATGGTGTGATTAATACAACTATAATACTTGATGTTGAAAAAAATTGCTCGGGCAGTTGAAATCAAACCAACGAAATAAAATATCGTGTGACGTTATTGGTTTTTGTGTTCTTTAAGTACGCCCGCCAAACGATTATAGTGTGAACAAGTTCTGTCCTATAATGATTTTGTCATTACATTGCATTATAATATTAGGTATCGATGTTTTACTTCGTTGGATATTCAAAGACTTTTGCACTTATATATTTCAGTCAATATCACCACGAAGGCACGGGAACCGTTCGAATTGATGAAACGTAATCCATTCTTTAAATGTTTGTTCAGGTCGTCAATATTCCATTGCAGAATATAGTGAAATACAAATTAATTTATTGTACCATTTGTGCGTTCACAAAGTATAGTACTTATACGTTTACGTACATTGTATACACGCATACCTACATTTATTAACTTTTTCGTTTCATATTTTGTACGATATAGGTACCTATAGTATGATATTAATTTAATAGACTTTCCGAAATTCTACGTCGTACTTCTGTGCTAGTGTATTCGAAAATAACAAAACATGTCAAAGTCGATTTTAAATATTTGGCGTCGGTAATGCTTTTAATTCTGTGATTGAGGAATATTGAGTGGTTTTTTGCTCGTATGTGTGTATGTGTGTTCAGGGTTGCCATATAATCTAATATTATTAAAAATGATGTGCTTGTTATGTAATTTTTGTATTTTTGCTGTACATTGTATTTCAAATGAAATACCAGAAAATACTTGCAATATTTTATAGGGCTGTTGATTTTTTAAATATACTTAACTGATGATATTTTTTTTGCTTGAAAGTAAATTAAAAGACATTAAGAAATAAAGAGATGGTAATAATTATAAAAATACGATTTTTATATATTTTCTTGTAACGATTACGGTATCTTAAGTAATTCCATGTTAAACTAATATAAAAGAGGAAGTATTATAAAATTATAATTATTTTTCAGATTCATGGAGTGGAAAAATATCAAGACATTTTGTTTTATAATATTGGGAAGAATGACGTGTATAATGATGTGAACAGTGGACATTTAATAAATGAATATGTTATCATAATTAAATTTAAATTTCAACAATTTGTAATATTATTGATAATGATTTAAGTTACAATAATTGTTTTATTAAATATAAAAAAAAAATATTTTGTAAATATTTAAATATGTATAATCTTTTAAATTTGTAATTGTATAAAATGTACTACCTCAGCGAAAATAAATGAATAGAAATATTTAATTTGACATTATGTAGTATTATGATTTTATGCATAATATTTAAATCAATATTGCGAAACCAGCTCGTTTCGGAAACTCACATAACACGTGTCTAGTGACTTTCTATTTTTACAAGATTTAGGTTTTTGGTCATGTAAATTTCGGTTGCGGCTTTGGGTGAGGATATAGTGTTAAATGAGTAAATGGCGCGGTCATTGGATACTCCGAGTTAAATGTGTTTTAAACGTTTCCGTTGCAGTGCGAGAGGAGACGATTAAGTGGACTTTTACGAAAAATGATCGAAACAACATCAACGAGAAGAAGAACAACAACCGCAACAACGGAAATCAATCATGTCGCTTTCGAAATGATAAAATTATATTCGGGGCGAAGGGGGGAAAAATGAAAAATAAAAATAATTTTGACGGCTGTAGATTTATGAGGAAACACGTCGTGTAGTGCAGAGTGATAAAACTGTTTGACTGGAACGGTATCAAGCAGATGGCAAGATCGTTTCATATATATTTTTTTCTTCACTTTTCTCCTCTTACTTGTGGCACTACATCACCGGCATTTACCCACTTGTGATTGATGACTTGCGGTTTTTGCGAAATATTATTCGTTTTAAAAATAAAATATATTCATTCGTGCCCGCTGACAGCTCTGAGTGTCTACGTGCTCAAAGACAAGGCTTATCGTTTCTCCTGTTCATACGTGCGCGGACAGCCCAATGATAATACTACCTGTGTGTGTAACAATGAGCGCGAAATTGAAATCTACTTAGTTTGTCGGAGAAAAAGTGGAAACGAAAAGTTGTGCGGAATTCTATTTTTGCGTACACCTACCTACCTTCTTACATACGGCTATAAATCAATAAATTACAATTTATGGTTATGATTATTATTATAACTTCGATTTTTGTTTCGAGTTTGTCATTGTTATAGTATCACTGAGCGGCTTTCTATTATTATATATTTCCACGTGTTGTTGATATACATTTTTACTCATTTCATTATGCGAATAGGTTTAAATAGGTGACTCTATTCAGTTTTAGTAAAACTATACATTTTTTAAGTTTTCATAGATGTTGTACTTTTTCCAAATTTACAGCACCGGATAGGACGATATCGTAACAATTTTTTGATTAGAACTTCTTGATAGGTACGTAGTAAATTTTTAAAATTATTTTTCGGTCAACTGTTATTCACACGACAATATTTCGATCCATAACAATATAATATGTGAAAATAACTCATAAGAATTGTATTGCTTTTTAGTTATTACTGTGGTACAGTGTTTCCCAACCAGTGGTCCGCTGTACCATAGAATTTTTCTTCGATTTCTTTTACAAATTACTTTTTTTTATTTAAGTAACGAAAAACACTACGACTTATTGAAGAACCGTAGTATACGTTAGTATCTTATCGTTATTGCTGCCGACGACCGTTAAGTATTTTCAACAATTTTCAATAAATTTTGTGTATTCTTGTTAATGAGCAAAAAAAAAAAAAAGGTCGTCCTAGTTTTCGTAAGATTACGGTGGTCCGCGATCTATAAAATATTGTCGAAGTGGTCCGTGGTGGTAAAAAGGTTGGGAAACACTGCTGCAGTACAAGTATAAATACGTAGTTACGATTCACGAGTTCCACGTTATCGTCAAAATATAAAATCAAATATTTGTAAAAAAAATAAAATAAAGATATGTTTTAATAGATATAGTAGGTATGAAATTAATTCGTTTATATAATTTAAATTTGAATTCAATTTTAATACCTCAATCGTAATTAAATCGTGTTCAACATTAATATTAAATTGACTTTCTTATTATCTTTTATTTTCGTTCGATATCATCACGGTTCAAGAACTTTTATTTGTACCATTAATGTTTTAATCTCGCATTAAAAAACTTCATACAGTTTGATAAAATATTACAATATCTCATTTAAAATGTATTGTGTTTGTATAATGAAGAATGGTTTTTTTTTTTTTAATCGTAGCGATATTACAACTGTTAGAACAATATGAATACTTCTAGTCACTATTAGCCGTTTTCATCTTATTTGTCGTTGTATTAGGCGTAAATGTATGTTAGCGTGAGTAAACAATAATAATAGATTAGAGTGTAACGCGTATTATCCGAACGTATATAGTTTCATAATATGCGTTTGTGTAAGCCACTAAGTGCAATAAGAAAATTAAATTTAAATTAAATTTTCAGACGCTTGCGTAGGTGACCTATACTCGCTAACATTGTTTTGTTCAGCAGACGAGGAGTGTGTTTTAGTAAAAATGCATTTTTGGAAGAACCTTGGATTGGTATAATACAAGCTTCCATAATCGTACGATTTGTTAACGATTGTCGTTCATCGGCTGATACGATATTTTGACTACGTCGGTAGGTACAGCGTACTATTGAATAATTAGAATGCGAATTATCACACAATTTCGCATAATATTGAGAATGAGAAAAATAAACATTTCTTAACCACATAGTAGAGGGTATACATTGCCCGACCCCGTATTTTATTTATTTAATGAAAGACTTTCAATTATCTGCAGTGTTTAAAATATGGAAACTTTCTAATTTTAGTTGGAAATTATCAACAACCGTTTATTCGAACATTTTAATATACTCTACCTATTGCGCAAAAACTCTAATAAAATAAAAATACAAATGTAATTTAAAATCGAGGGAGATATAAAGTTCTTATCACTTTTTTTGATAAAACTTTTCTACAACTCTGCTCTTCTAAGTTATAATGTGCTACGGACAATACCATCTGTAATATCATGACTTGTGCAGTTAATATTAACCGTAGGACGTCATTCTTTGGCTAGGTTGGACCGTCGTCCTAGACGCGGGTCGTTGGCTACCGACATTATCTCTCCCACAAACCTCCCGAACCACTGAAATATTTTGGCTCAAATAAAGATAATATCTCCAAACGCTGTTTCCGACGTCTTGCGATTTGATGGTTTAATAATATTCAACGACGTAATCAAATATTATCACTAGGTAATTATTATGACATTGACTTGTGACTTGTGTTTACTGTAAAACGTACGAAATTCGTAAGGTATTTTAGTAACGAAGCAATTTGCAGAAAGTCGATAAATATTTGTATTGTAACTGTCTTGTTTTCTTCTGCGACAAAGTCAATATTTCAAGTACGACTTATATTATGCCCGATTACTTGTTATAAGTATTGATACACAGTTTTCACGTATTACTCCAGTCATTGGATTTCTATTTGTTTGGCATATTTGAATTGATCGATGGAATTTCTAGTTGCAGTTGTAATCTACTTTATAGTTGTTTAACTACTACACGTCTCCTAATGAATCAAGTTGAGATAAAGCGATCCCGAGAAATGCCTATAAAGATAGAGATAAAGTATAAAACCTACTTTAGATAATTTTAGTTGAATTAAAACGAAAATGTGTTTATTGTCATCAATTTCTTTGGGATTAATTATCAAATATGACTTTATAATATATATAATATTGCTATAGTATTAAGACTCTATTATGGTACAGATAAACATGTGCCGAGTGCCCACTGAGTATAATGAATGCGTTATTATTTTAATTCAATAATAAAATATCATCAACGATTCTGAGTGTAAATAAGTCTGTCAGCCTGAATTCCTAAGGATCTTTTATCATGTCGGTACGTACATTTATATACCTATGAGAAATTAATTTTTTTACGGCTAATTTTTTTTTTTGGTTATTATTACAAGCCTTGGTATCTCTGGGCCATTTAATGACAATAATAAATTGTTTATGCATGTGCTTAATACAATAAATACATTACAATAATACAGTCATACGATTACAATACATTTGATGTTATTAAATAATAAATTATCTACGTATATGCTATTATTTTTTTAATTAGTTCTAGTTACTTATTACTATATACTTATCCCTCGTCTCATATCATCCCATATATACAGTGATTGATTGAGAGGAATTTGAGGATATCGTTTTGATTTATGCTATTGGCTGTTTTTCGACATTCAACGGTATAGGCACTTGTAAATATTGTACTCCGCAGGCTGCGAATTAGATTGGTCTAATTTGTACATGATGTAGCCGTACCGTGAATTGGCTGTTCTATTCAAATTGTTGTGTTTTCTTCAACGTTTGGTACTCCATTTCAATTCTCTGATTTGGGTTTATACCTATATATTACCTTTATACCTATACCTTTATATTTGGGTTTACATTTATGCCTATTATTTTATTTATATTAATCGTTTGTATGAATCTCTCGTACTCGCGAAGATGTCGACAAAGCACAGGAAATAAATGGAAAAAAACTCAAACAAATCTGAAAAAGTAAAAAGTCTATAAATAGCATTAAAAAAGGCATATGAAAATTGTATCGTGTCTATAAAGTGTTTGTATATTTATATTTGTTTATTTATCGTATGGCCATGCTTGTTTAAATATTTGATGACAATTAAAAGTTTATTACGTGGTTATAAGTTTTTGAAGTACAAAGAAATAACGAAATCAATTTTGTTAAAAATCGGTGTTGCGTAAATTCGCAATCACGTTTTTCTGTAATTTTTTAGTTTTTCCTGATTATTAATAAAAGTATGGGGAATTTTTACCTCCTAAATTACCAACTAGATAATATTTTTAACCAGAAACCACCGTCAAAATTAAAGATCAAACGACTTTTTCTTCTATAAAACACACACACACACACACACACACACACACACACAAAATACACACATATAAAAAAATATATATTTTTTTTGTAGTTAACTAAAACGAGTCAATTGATAAATTAGGTCTTCTTTAGTACAGTTTCAACTTTATATAGACAACACCAGGCGCCAAGTTATTGATTATTATTTTTTTATAAATACAACGTCAAATAGTTCAATGACCA